ATTTTACCAAAAAACTCCTAATTGCACCAATAAGAGCTATAAATGTAAATTCATTGAGTTATATGTGTATATGTACATGTAGCTTACATGAATTTCCATCCTGACTCCATTTGCAAAGGTAAAATTTTATATTTCTTTATTGAATATATATATAGAGAGAGACAGAGAGAGAGAGAGAGAGAGAGAGAGAGACAGAGAGACAGAGAGAGAGAGAGAGACAGGGAAAGAGAGAAAGAGAAAGAGACAGACTGGAGACTGGGGATTGAACCCTGGGCTTTCACACTTAGCTACATTCCTAGCCCTGTTTTCATTTTGAGACAGGTTCTTACCGAGTTGCTAAGTTGTCCAGGCTGGGCTCAAACTTGAGATCCTGCTGGTTCTCAGTCTCTCAGAGTGCTGGGATTATAGACCTGTGCCATGAGGAGTGACTAATTTAACTATTTTATATCTTCAGTCTGTAATGGGAGAAAATTTAGTCACTTCTGGGTAAGTCAGTTATTTTAAGATTTAAAATAATCTAAATTCAGTTTTCAAACTTAGTCCTCTTCCTCTTCAGGGTGTGGGAGTTACGTTTGAACTTCATTCTGCTTCTGCAGCCATTCACTGTCCGTATAACTTATCCTACCTGATTGTTGGCGACCAGCCTCCTGCTTCTGCCTGCCAGAGCCTTGGTGTGATGACAGCCTCCAGTCTTCATAGTGCTGTAGACTCATTTGCGGACTCTCTTAAGATTACACAAAGCTGCTCTTGCTACTGAACAGAGCCTCCTCACTCACCTTTACTCCTTCACCATTGTGGCTCATTTTGGGTATCTGAGCCTCTCTCTAAGATCAGCAGAATCCTGAGGTTACACTCTGGGAAATATGGCACAGTTTCCTTTTCTTATGGGGGCCTCCTGAAATTTTGCTAAGTTATCACCTCTCCCTTTGTGGATCTTGGCCCAGTGTGATGGAACTTCTGGTCCTTTCCCTAAGGTCTATTTAAGGGATTTATTCTGTAAACCTTTCCACCTGTCATTCCTGACAATTCAAAGAGGAAAATAAAAGGAAAGCTCCTAAGTTTAAGATCTAAAATTTTATCCAGACATGGGGTGCACACCTGCAATCCCACCATTCTGGGAGGTTGAAGGACAAGGACTGAAAGTTTACGCCCAGCCTGGGCAACCTGCTTACCGAGGAGACCCAGTCACAAAATTAAAGAATGAAAAGAGGGCTGGAGATGTAGCTCTGTGGAAGGCCCTGGGTTCAATCTCCCATTTATGTGTGTGTGAGGGAGGAGTAAAAATTTTTTTCCTTTGAAGAAGAGCCATTTTTCCAAACTTTCGCAGGCCTAGAGCAAAAACCATCAGGCCCCTCCCTCCCTTCCTCAGCCCAGGGGAATGAACAGGATATAAAATGCTGGCACCAGGAGGCCAAAGTCCAGTTTCATTTCCACAGAGAAGGGAGGGAATAGAAGGTCAGGAGGATTGAGCAAGCTTGGAGCTGTCCATGGAATCACTGTGTTTCCTCTCTCCTTTCCTTGTTTAAAAGGTCCTTGCACATGTACACACAAGTGAGATGCTGATTTGTGGCAAGTCCTAGCTTTTGTCTCCTTAGAGGTAGCTTCGAGTAAAGCCCTTCGAGTAAAGCCCTTTCCCTCTCACTAAAAGAAATTGCCTTCAAGTTTGGGGAGCAGCAAGCATGTGGACCTAAGTGGCCGGTAACTTTCTTCTGGATTCTATTAGTTGTGACCTACGGCTTTGTAGATTGAAGCCAGATTCATGAGTATTCAAATTTTCTCTTAAAGTGGTTTTTCTTTCCTTTTCTTCTTCTTCTTTTTTTTGCCAATGGTTCTAAAATTCTGTTTTTCAAATTGTAAAAAATATTTCACAATGGTGAAAATTTGATTATTAATTAGTTATTAGAAGATGCTAAGGATTAATTTATTATTAACTTTGGTAGGCATGATAATGGTCTTTTAGTTATACATGAAAATATCCATTTTTAGAGAAATTAGTGAAGGCACTATAGAGCAGGTGGGTTCGGAAGTGTCAGGAGCTATGACTTTGGAGTGGGAGGAAGCTGACAGATAACGAAAAGCCACACCTGCCATTGGATTTCATTCACCCAATCAAACAGGGAGATGACATGATAATTCCCACAGAGTCAGGGCTGGGGAAAAAGGGTGACAGGCTGAAGTAATTTTGGATTCCTTTTCCTTCTGTTGCTGGCTGGTGTGGGTCCTTGCTTTTAGTAATAAGGGAAATTAAAACTAAAACACAAATTTATAGGAAAAAACTTTGCTTAGAAAGTAAGAGGGGATGGTAAGGAGCTTTAGCTTGAGGATCTGACAAAGATCAGGCTGGCCTTTAACAAAGGAGAAGGAGGAAAACAGAAAAGGACTCCAGTTTGAGCAGCTGGAGGGGCACACTCTGATAAAGATCAGACTGGCTAACTCCCTAAGGAAGGAGGCCAGCTTTTGAGTGTTAGCTGGGGGGATGGGGTCCATTAGTCATTATCTCAGCTTTGGAACCCTCTCTACTTGTGTGTCTTTAGCTGCTCTATCACGACTGTCTTGATTTCCCAAATCCACTAACAGCATTTACTTTTCTCATCAGAGCATAGGGGTGCGTGCCTGTAATCCCAGCCTTCATGAGGCTGAGGCAGGAGAATTTAAGGCCAGCCTGGGTTATACAGTGAGTCAAGGCCAGCCTGGAATACATAGAGAGATCATGTCTCAAAAAAACCAAAACCAAAATAAACCCCAAACTATATACCTTTCCTACCTGGTCATTTTGACTTTGGGAATAGCTGGAATTTGCAGGGTGCCAGATCCTTTTAATAAGGTGGGTAAGGACCCATGTAATGTTTTTTATGTCCCTGCCTTTACACTGGATGGTGCTCAGTAGCAGGAATCACCATACTTTTAATCATGCCTCATAAAGACACTCATGAAAGAACACTTCCAGAACTACATCTCTAGTAACGTGGCAACAACGATGGGATAAATGTGTTTGAAGCAAGGGGGAGTATTTTGATTAATGGTACTGTTTTTATGGTAATAATTTAAAAAAATATTTACTGCATATTTATTTATTTATTTATTTTTTCCGGTACCGGGAATCAAACTCATGACCTTGCACTTGCCAGGCAAGTGCTGTGCCACTGAGCTAAATCCCCAGCCCTACTGTATATTTAGATCACCATTTTTACATGTTGGGCATCTGCAGGCCCAAGTAAAGGGGCATAGTTTATTAATAGGATCCTTTATTAATAGGATCTGGCACATCCCAAATTCTGGCTGTTCTGAAAGTCAAAATGACCAGGTAGGAAAGGTATATACAGTTTGGGGTTTATTTTGGTTTTGGTTTTTTGAGACATGATCTCTCTATGTATTCCAGGCTGGCCTTGACTCCCTGTATAACCCAGGCTGGCCTTAAATTCTCCTGCCTCAGCCTCCTGAAGGCTGGGATTACAGGCACCCACCACCATGCTCTGATGAGAAAAGTAAATGCTGTGAATGGATTCGGGAAATCAAGACAGTCATGATAGAGCAGCTAAAGACACACAAGTCGAGAGGGTTCCAAAGCTGAGATAATAACCAATGGACTCCATCTCCCCCAGCTAATGCTCAAAAACTGGTCTCCTCCCTTAGCCAGTTAGTCAGTCTGATCTCCTTTATCAGAGTGTGCCCTTCCAGCTGCTCAACCTGGAGTCACTTTCTATTTTTCTTTTTCCCCTTTAAGGGCCAGCCTGATTTTTTTTCTTTTTTTGTCTTTTTGAGACAGGGTGTGGCTATGCAGTTCAGGCTGGCCTTGAGCTCACTTTGTAGCCCAGGCTGGTCTCGAACTCATAAGGATCCTCCTGCCTCAGCCTCCCGAGTGCTGGGATTATAAGCGTGCACCACCACGCCCGGCCCCTCTTACTTTCTAAGCAAAGCTTTTTCCTGTAAATTTGTGCTTTATAAATATAAATACCTTCCCTCTCTGATCCAGCAATTCTGACCCTCTCACGCTGCCTCATAGCAGCCCAGGGGCCCCACTAGCTTCCTACTGTGGCGCTGGAGCAGAAGCAATAGTTAAAAGGATTCTTCATGGGCAGCAGCCCCTTCTGGGTGGGGAGCAAAATGCAGGCTGAGGCTGACTCACAGGCCAACCGTTGAAAGGCAGACTTTTCCTTCAGTCTGAGACTGCGCAAAGCTGCCTGCCGGGAGCCTCGGAGTGTACCTGCAGTCTCAGGGGAAAAAGCAGCAGCTCCCAGCCTTGGCCTGGATGGCCCCTTGCCTGTGTGGGAGCAGGTCCCTGCACCCATTTCCAGCCATGACCAACAACACTATTTGTCCTGTTATCCTATTTCATGGCTCTCTTGTATTAAGAAATGAAGATTATCCTCAAAAACAACAAACAGAGGCGAGCGGAGAAATCTGCACAGTCCCAGCAAGATTGTCTGAAATGTGTGTCTGTCTCATATACTCTCACTAGGCTTGAAAACAACAGATATCAGCTTTCTTTTTGGTGCCAGGAATCGAACTCAGGACCTTGCGCTTGCCAGGCATGCGCTGTGCCGCTGAGCTGTATTCCCGGCCTCACAGATACTAGTTTAAGGGGCCGGGGCTGACCATAGAAAAATGAACACAAGTTATCTGGCAGACAGTGTCTGGTCTTAACAATGCAAAGCTCACGCAGTGGAAGACCCTTTTAAGCATGTCAGGTGAGAAAATGTTAGACTGGATCAGGTAGGGCCTGAAAAATAAGGCTTTGGGGAAATAACGGAAAAGACAGTCGTCGCAACTTGGAGATGGGAATCAGTCGACGTCAGTACAGCGCGCACAGCGGTCGCGCCGCCGGGACCGCGTGTAGCTTTCCCGCGCGCCCGCTCTGGGGGCGGAGAAGAACCCGGATGGAACCGCCCCTGCAGCCCCACCGCCTTCCACAGAGACCGAAGGGGCGGAGTCGCCCCTTCTTCTGTACCCTGATTGGTTCATCTCCGAAGGCTCCTCCTCACGATTGGACGTTGCCCGTGCCAGTCATAGAGCGTCGCTGGTTTCTCGGATTGTTGCTAGAAGGAGACGGCATAGATAGCTGAGGGGACGCGCTGCGTCTAACCGTGTAGTCGCGCGTTCTTGATGCGGCTTGGCGAACCTGCAGCCGGCTTGTGGGCTGCGGGGCCTGGAGAGAATCGTCCCGAGGCGGCTGGGGAACGGTCAGGGGCGTCCAGGCGTTCCTGTCGTCATCCCAGTCAGCGCCATGTCCTGGATGTTCAAGAGGTGAAGGGAACGGAGGGGGTGGGGCGACGGGGCTAACGGCCGGCGGCGCCCGGTGAACCTGACCTTCTGGGGCGTTTCCTCCGCGCCGGCGGCTCTGTGTGCGCCGCCGTGTGCCTTCTGTGGGTCGCTCGCGAAGCTGCGGGAGAAATAAAGGCATTGTCTTGTCTGGCGAGGGGCGGCTGTTCCGGCGAGCCTCGGGCCGGGGCCTGGGGGTCTGTCAGGGCGTGCGGGCGGAGGTGTGGGGCTCAGAGCCGCTCGGCCGGTGCTCTGTTCCGTAGCACATCCGTTAGCTCCCTGTGCGCGCCGGCGTCGCGAGCGGTCGGAGAAGAGGGCTGAGCGGCCCTCGTCCGCGGGCGGACGCGTGTTTGCGGAGCCCGAAGTGGTATGTGCGAGGCGCGAGGAAAACGTAGAGCGGACGGCGACCGCCCGTTCTTAGGGGAGTGGGAGCTCCCGCGGCAGACAGCCCGCTTTCCGTCCCCCGAGGTGGTTTTCGTGCGCGTTGCTGAAATGATCATCTAAAAGGGGGCTGGGGGTGCCTTGAATCCAGCGGCGTGGGGAAGTGGGCAGAGGGGCTCGAGGTCGGCTATGTCTTCGTGGTTCTGGACAGCAAAGTGGGCAGGGCTCGCTCTGTGGAGTGTGGGTGACCCAGCTGGTGTGGATGTAAGGCTTTCTCCCCCTCTCCTACCCACAGTGCTTCAGGGTAGTCCAGATCACCCAAATTTGATTAATTCTTGTATCTCCCGCTTGTCGGGGTCCACTGATTCCGAGGGGAAATAAGCATCATGAGGGATTTTATGGGTGCCATGTTCCGTGCTACTTGAGTCTGCCAGAGCTTACGCCTGAATTGTGCAGAATTGGGCTGCCTGCCCTCTTCTGGTGCCCGTCCTCTGGGCCCTTGGTTGGTCCACAGATCCAGGGTGATCGTTGGCAAAATCGTGAGTGGTTGCGGCTCTCATGAGAGTATGGTACAAGGTACTAAGTCCTAGAAGATGTCACTTCACATCTTCTTCCGTTTTGTTTCATTGCAAACCTAACCTGAACTGGTAGCGACTCAAGTCAGCCTGGCTCCTCCTTAGGCAGAGCGTATGGCGAGTGCCCTTGAATCAGGGTTGGAGCCCCTTCCAGAGCCTCGGAGGGTTGCTGGCTACTGGCCCAAGACTGCAGAGTTGTAAATCAGTCTGCCTGTGAAGAATTGGTCTGGGGAGGAAGCTGTTTCCAGTAAAGAACAGTTTTATCATTGTTGAGGTGGTCATGGTGGGCAAATGAATGAGCCATGAGAATACCTGAATTTTCTGTGTAAGTCATTTTTTCGATGTGAAGAAACACCAGACTCTGTACAGAGATCTTTTTACAAAAGGCAAACCTTTTAATCCCAAGTAGCCCGCTCTAATCTGTCTGGCTGAATGACCACAGGTAGGTTATTGTGTAGGTGAAAGACCCTATTTTGACCATAGTTTGAACGTTGACAAATTAAATTTTACGGTAGTTTGAACTGCTGCAGCTGTTCCATAACCACATAAAGTAGGACAAATCAATAGTGTGTTGCTGTTCCTCAGGTTGGTGGCAGTGAGAACAAGTGTAATGTTCTCTATCTCTTCTGTAGCTATACAGGCAAAGTAAAAGTTAAAAAAAAAACTGATGAAAACAAATAATGCAATGATACTAGGACATACACTTTCGTATTTTTATTCTTATACAAGGTTATTTGCTGGCTACTGTTGGCCTGTAGTTCAGTCTGTGTTATTTAAATTCTAATATATGAGTTACTTGGATTGAATTCATGTTTGGGGCCACGCTGTTGTATGTATTGAATGTGAATAATTATTGTAAACTATTTTACAGCTTTTTTTCTGGCTTTAGTATATAAATTTTACATTTTTTTTTGTTGTTATTTTTGTTTTTTTCTGGTACCAGGAATCGAACTTAAGACCTTGCGGTTGCCAGGCAGGCGCTGTGCCGCTGAGCTAAATCCCCAGCCCCAATTTTCACATTTTATTACATAAATTAAATGAATTATATACACCCTTTTGCCATAACTGGATACCAGAATAAAAATTATATAAATTTTATATTTCATTATATAAATCATATAAATCCTCTGGCATAGTTGGATACCAGAATAAAATATATTTTGTTCAGAGATAAAGTAATGATATAACCGACTTCATGTATAATAATAGTTCTGTGTTTTGGAAGTCTTTTCTAGATTAATCAACATTGAAATTTCAGCATATAATTGTGCTTACAGACATTACATACATTTACATTTAAATAGATAATTTTCATTACAAAAGCCATTTGTGAGCCCTTACTGTTTTGTATTTTTCCATTTTGAATAGGACCATTGGCATAGTAGATCTAATACTAAACAGAGTTTGTGGAGGTCTTCTTCACTCTCAAGTCTTGCTTTAACCAGAGTAATTATTAATCTGTTTATAGCAGAGTGATTTTAATCTGTTTACAGTGATTCCCACATCCAATTTTGTTTGCTTCAATAAAGTGTGAGAAAACTATTGACCTTAAATATTATTAGCCCATGGTCTTTGAGAAATACTTGGTTAAATACTGTTGTTTTTCTGTGCTTTTTTTATTTTCTAATAGGGATCCTGTTTGGAAGTACTTACAGACTGTCCAGTATGGAGTCCATGGAAGTTTTCCACGCCTCCCATATCCAACGTTCTTTCCACGTTTTGAATTCCAAGATGTTATTCCTCCAGATGACTTCCTAACTAGTGATGAAGAGTTAGATTCGGTTTTGTTTGGAACTTTGAGAGGTCATGTGGTTGGACTACGCTATTACACAGGAGTAGTGAGTATAAAAATAGATAATACGTTAAATTGTGATGGTATTAATCTAGAAAACAGGAGTATTAGAAGGTGATATGTATAGTTAATATTTTACTTTAATTGAAATACATGCAAACAAGAGATAACATGCCTACTTTTGATCTTTTACGTTTGTACCAAACTTAGACTATACAAAGCACTTCTGCCTGCAATATCATCTAATCCTTAGAATAACTGACATAGAACACCTATTATCCCTTTCTGGAATTGGAAAAGTAAAGCTGGAGAAAGTTAAAAAATTTGCCCAAAATATACTGGCTTTATATGGTGAATTTAGAAGATGGCTTCCAAGTCTGTTGCTTTCTTTCCTGCCCCTGAACACATTTCTGTACTTTAATATTTTTCATTTAGAAAGTTTAGCTTTTACTAGATAAAGGAGTTGTCTTTTTTAGATCCTTTTTTTTCCCTGTAAGGATATTTTGTATTTTTCCTTCCTGTGTTTGTTCTGTATCTCTAATCTCTGAATTGTGTGTTGTGTATATGTGTGAGAGAAAGGGACAGACTGAGAATGAAGTATATACAACATATATATATATAGATTTCTCTGGTCAGTAGTTGTCTTTGTTATGATTGCCTATGGTGCCTTTGGATAATATACCTCTAATTTTATCTAATTTATTTTGAAAAATTTCAAGCGTGTATAAATGTCCATTATACCTATTATCCATATGAAACAGTTAACAAGTTTTTTTCTATATTTACCTCATTCTTGTGTTTCTTTGTTTCTTTGTAAAAGCAAATGCCAAATGTCTCATTTTTCATGATTATGTATTTCTTGAAAAAGAAATTTTCTTCCTATAGTTAACAAAATGAATAATTTCTTACCACATCCAATAAATAATGCATAATGAGCTTCTCTTACTTAAAAACGCCTTTATGGTTGATTTTTTTGTATCTAAATCAAAACAAGATTGATATATCATCATTGGTCATTAGAGGATAAAAAGCCCCTTCACTGTTTGTTTCATGTTGCAGATTTGTGATAAAAACAGGTCTGTTGTTCTGTGGAATCTTACTGGATTTGTTGGTTCTTTCATTCCTCTGTATTTGGCCCTTCCCTTCCCTTCCCCCACCCCCCTTCCCTCTTTGATAGTATTGAGGATGGAATTCAAAAGTGCTCTACATTTCCAGCCATTTTTATTTTGAGACAGTCGTGTTGAGTTATCCAGGCTGGTCTTGAACTTGTGATCCTCCTGACCTAGCTTCCCCAGCAGCTAGGATTACAGACCAGTGCCACCTGGTCTGGGTTTTTCTTCTTTTTTTTCCGGTCTTTTTTTTTTTGAGACAAGGTCTTGCTGTGCAGTTCAGGCTGGCCTTGAGCTCATTTTGTAGCGTAGGCTGGCCTTGAACTCGAAACAATCCTCCTGCCTCAGCCTGCCCGGTGCTGGGATTACCGGCATGCACCATCACGCCTGGCTGGTCTGGCAATTTTTTTTGTTGTTGTCTTTTTGAAACACGGTCTCACTATGCAGTTCAGGCTGGTCTTGAGCTTACTATGTAGCTCAGGCTGGTCTCGAACTCAAAAGGATCCTCCTGTCTCAGCCTCCCGAGTGCTGGGATTATAGGTGTGCACTACCACGTGGTCTGGCTATTTTTGAAGCTTGTCAAAATCAGTTTTTTGGTTGTCTGAAGTATGTTCTGCAGATTTTTTGGGAAGAGTTCCATGTTTTGGATTTATTTAATCTTTCATTTTCCCATATTTACTTTACAATGGAGCATCTGAGATTGGTGATTGTCTGACATGTGTTAGCTAGGAAATTACTAAGGAAAGAAAGATACTTAGTTTTTATATGTTGGAGACAGTGAGGCTTCCTTCTTCCCATTTTATTTCATCCAGGCTGTAAGCCAATAGGCTGGTGCCACCCACATCCAGGTTGGGTCTTTCCTCTTAAGTAAATCCATTACGCACACCCAGAAGTATGCTACACTAGTCAGTGGACTGATCCAGTATCACACATCCATGATTCAGTCACTCCCAAAAGCCCCACTTGTGAGTTCATGCGCCTTTGAGGGGATATCTAGGTATAAGCCACAGCATTCTGCACTGACCTCCAGAAGATTCACACACATCCCTTTATGCAAAATGTAGTTACTTCATCTCTAAGAGTTACCAAAGTCCTAGTAGTTTCAACATTGCTGAAAAGTCCAAGTCCAAATTCTCTGAGACTTAAGGCAAACTCTTAGCTGCAAGCCCCTGTAAAAATGAGAATAAAGTCAAGCACTTCCAGTGTATAGTGGCACAGGATAAGCATTCCCATCCCAAAAAGGTAGGAATAGTGGGATAGGAAGGAAGGGAACTAACACAAGTCCAAAATCCAGCAGGGAAAACACTGAATCCTTTAGTTCCGTATCTACCAATGGTGCAGTGAAGTTAAAACACTTGCCTAAAATTTTTTTTTTTTTTTTTTTTTTTTTTTGGTCTTTTTGAGACAGGGTCTTACTATGCAGTTCAGGCTGGCCTTGAGCTCACTTCGTAGCCCAGGCTGGTCTCGAACTTGCAATGATCCTCCTGCCTCAGCCTCCCGAGTGCTGGGATTACAGGTGTGCGCCACCACGCTCGGCTTGTACAATTGGTTTTGATGAACACTTGCTCAAGGGAGCTTGCTCATCTACCCCAAAGTGAGCTTAAAAGTCAAATATAACTAGCCTTGCAAGTGGGTTCTTCTATGAAACCATCAAATAGTTCAAGTAATTGCAGTTTTGGGGGAATGAATCTTTGAAAGAGTTGTAACTCCATTCTGCTCCCCCTGATGACTGCCATGGTGCTTCAGAAATCCCAGTAGGCAGATGAAAGTATTGGTAAAAGTTACTGGAGACCTGGGGCTTGGACTAGGCCACTGGTATTCAGCCATTTTTCTTGAGTAAGCACTCAGATTTTTGCCAGCCTTTGGTTTCTAGAATTCTGAAAGAGTTGATTTTGAAAGTTTTTCTGTTACTTCTGTGGAGAAGAGATTTTTTTTGGATTTCCTTATTCTGTTATTTTCTGTGTCACCTTTACATGGTTGTCAGTTAAGTGAAATCAAGAGAATGGCGTGAGTTTAAGGTTGAATATATTTTCTCAAGCCGGGTCCTTGCCGCCTTTTTCTCCCTATTAAGGTTTTGTAGATTTCAGGCCCAAGAACCAACTTGCCTGGTTTAAATATTGGCTCTGATATTTATTAGCTTTGGTTTTTGGTTTCTTTTTGTTTTTTCTATTTTTTTTTTGGTCTTTTTTGAGACAGGGTCTCAATATGCAGCTCAGTCTGGCCTTGAGCTCATTTTGTAGCCCAGGCGGGTCTCCAACTTGCACTGATCCTCCTGTCTCAGCCTTCTGAGTGCTGGGATTACAGGCGTGTACCACCACGCCCTGCGAGCTTTGTTACCTTGAGTAAATTACTTAACTTTTCTGTGTTGTAGTCTCTTTGTATATAAAATGGGAATAATGATAGTACTGATAGGGTCATGAGGATTTGTAAAATCAACCTGTGCAGTGCATGCAATAAAGGTTTGCTGGTTTTCAGAAGTTGCAGTGTGAGAATTTTAGATGGTGTGCATATGAAAGATTTGTTAATCTCCCAATGAATGTAAATTAGAAAACAGTATAGAAGAATCATTTGAAAACTTGTTCTTTAATATTTCTAGCTTGAATCCAAGCAAATACTTTTTCTGATGTTTAGTGTTCATAATACAATCAGGCTCTCACTGTCTGTTCATATTTATAATACAATCCTCATTTTTTTTAGGTCAATAATAATGAAATGGTTGCATTACAGCGAGAGCCTAATAACACCTATGATAAGAATGCAATTAAAGTAAACAATGTGAATGGAAATCAGGTTGGGTATTTAAAGAAAGATCTCGCAATTGCTTTGGCCTATATCATGGATAACAACTTGGCCCAAGTGGAAGGGTAATGTACTTTGAAAGCTTAATTTTAATAATTAATTTTAATAATTGTGAGTTGTGGTTGTCTTTCAACTTGTTAACTTTTTCTTAGAGTTTATAAAGGTATCATAACACTTATTAATCATTGTACCTTTAATTATGTGTTCCTATCAGTTGTCTTATCTGCCCCTACTACCCCGCCATCAAACAGCTGTCCTCTCATTTGCCTATTTAATTTTTACTGTGGCAAAAATAGACTTTGGGTCACATATTGGGAAGTGTGTGCCATCCTTCCAACCTTTCAGTTCATAAATTTGGGAGTTGTAAATCAGAGGCTATAAACTGGTAATAAATGATTAGATGGAGATGTTTCCTTTTGCTTACATATTGTTTTAGACATTTATTTCCAATATGTAACTCGAGATACTCTACATATTAATTTTTTCCTAAAAGTAAAACATATTGAAAGTCATCTTGATGAGTGGAAGATCTAGCAGTGCCGGACACTCGTTTTCACATGGCATCCATTGACTGGGACTGAGAAATCATTTCTTTAGCTATGACATGTACTCTCATTTTTCCACCTCTTATATTTTATTTTTTAAAGCTCTCATTCTCATTTTGGTTATCTTTTCTCACAGGCATTTGTGTTTCTGATCTCAATTTAAGTATTTAGGATACTTATACCCCAAACCTAATGCTTAGGATATTCCAATCCTAATCCTAGGTGAGTTTGGAAGAGAATGCTTGGGACTGTCTTCTTTTTTTAATTCGTCAAGTTTTTCTTTTTTTGTTTTTTTCTTTTGCCTTTTTGAGACAGGGTTTCATTATGGAGTTCAGGCTGGCCTTGAACTTACTTTGTATCCCAGGTTGGCCTCAAATTTACAGTGATCCTCTTGCCTCAGCCTCCCCAGTGCTGGGTTTAGAGGCATGCCTCACCACCTCAGGCTAAGTTTTTCGTATATGGAGGATAAAGTTTTAGTTAACCTTGGATTAGAAATAGTTCTTGTAAATCATTCCTCACCTTCCTAGCAGTTAGTGAGTTGCTAACTTTCAGTGGTTCTCTTAGCCAAAGCTATACTCAAATAAATATACTGTTTTGTTTATTGTATAATCTTGTGGGTAAGCTATGCTTGTGGTTTTTTTTTTTTTTTTTTTTTTTTTTTGTTGTTTTTGCTTTACTGAGGCAGGATATTGCTCTGTAGTTCAGACCGGCCTTGAACTCACTATGTAGTCCAGGCTGGTCTCAAAATTCCTGGCAATCTTTCTGCCTCAGTCTTCCGAGTGCTGTGGTTACAGGTGTGTGCCACCACCTATCCTTGTATTTTAAAATAGCTTTGTCCCATTCTCTCAGTTTCTTTTGGCTTCTGTTCCCAAAAACCACTTTTCCCTTGTATTGTGGCTCATTTTGTTTCTTGTCCTTTTTCACTCTTTCAGCTCTGCCCAGCTAGTCTCTTTATTTTCTTGCCATACAAAATTTGGAAGGCCTATTTGGGGTGTGTAGTTAACAGATTCTTAAATAAAAAATAACTTCTAATTTCCAATTTTCTTCTCTCCTGAATACAATAGGGTAGTTCCTTTTGGTGCAAATAATACTTTTACCATGCCTCTGCAAATGACTTTTTGGGGAAAAGAAGAAAATAAAAAAGCAGTTTTAGATCATTTGAAGAAACATGGATTTAAATTGGGTCCTGCCCCGAAAAGTAAGTTTAGGATTTAAGTTAATATTATTTTGATATTGTAAGATGCAGGGATTACATAACATTTATTTTTAATTTGATTGGCCAAACTTCTTTGTGCTGAAGGCTCCAAATTAAAATTTTTTGGAGTCTTTTTGAAGAAATCTCTGAAGTTTTTTATTTTCTTTCAAAATAGTTATGAGTCACTAACAATTTTTTGAGAAATGTGTCATTAGGTGATTTTTGTTGTGCAAACATCAGGCTGTTTTTACACAAACTAAAATGGCTGTCAGGGTTATTTAAACATACATTCTCATTGGGCCACTGTTGGGTATTTGGTTAATATAGGTAATTGAAACATCAGTATGGAGTGCATGACTGTGTATAATTACACAGCCATAAAAATACACAAGAAGTTCCCATGCAATCCTCCCTTTATTTCTCCCAATGCTTTTGCCCTGAGCTATATACCTTAGCCGCCCTTTTTTGAGATAGGGTCTTGTGAAGTCTCCCAGGTGGACTCAAACTTCGGATCCTCCTGCCTCACCTTCCTATGTGCTGGATTACAGATGTACAGTACCACATCTGACTCTAAACATTCTTTTTGATAACTTTTAGACAAAAAGAAGCTCCCAAGAGAGAATGAAAAAGGATTGTTTGGCAAGATTATTTAAATTTTGTGGGATTATTTTAGTAATGTTTCTTGAGTGATTATTATTTATCTTTAAAATTTGTTTTGGGACCAGGAATATACTACAGTGATAGAATGCTTAGCTTACCTTTTTTTTTTTTTTTTTTTCTTTTTTGTGGTATTGGAGAGTAAACCCAGTACCTTGCCTTACGGTAGGCAACTGCTCTACCTACGTCTCAAGTCCTGTGGGAAATTTTTTTCTTTTTTGGATGTTACTGTGGATTGAACCTAAGGCCTTCAAACTGAGCCACATTCTCTGCCCTTCTTGAGTTTTTGTATTGAGATAAAATCTTGCTCTATTGCTAACTTGCCCAGGCGGGGCTTGATCTTGAGATCCTTCTGACTCAGCCTCCCACTGTGGTAAGGTCACATGTGTCACTATGCCCTGTTGCCAGTGGAAATTTTTCAGGAGTTTATCTTAAAAACTTATACAGCTACTTATTTCTGTTTTTATTTGGTGACTTTTTTCTTTTTATCCTGTAAATTACAGCTTTAGGATTTAGTTTGGAAAGTAGTTGGGGCTCTGGAAGAGCTGGACCAAGCTACAGTATGCCAGTTCATGCCGCAGTACAGATGACAACTGAACAGGTGCGCGTCTCTTCGATGGTTGATATTTAAATGAATAGAATGAATACATGTATGCTGGCATCAGTGATCTTCGGATATGTTGTTAAAATTATAGTAAACCCTATTGTGTAAGAAATATATACATACTTGCAAACTCTGTCTAAAAAGCAGTGATAAGGAATATAGTTGTACCTTGATATCCACAGAAATTGATTGTTCAGGGTCCCCTGGTATATATAAAATAATGTGGTATTTGTATATATGTGTGCATCTTCCTGTATACTTTAAATCACTTCTAATTTATTTCAAATACCTAATATAATGTAAATGCTATATAATAGTTGCTGTTGCCGGGCGTGGTGGTGTACGCCTGTAATCCCAGCAGTCGGGAGGCTGAGGCAGGAGGATTGTTGGAAGTTCGAGGCCAGCCTGGGCTACAAAGTGAGCTCAAGGCCAGCCTGAACTGCATATTGAGACCCTGTCTCAAAAAGACGAAAAAAAAAAAAAAAAAAAGTTGCTATTCTGTGTTGTTTAGGGAATAATAGAAATTTAAGAGGTATGCATATATTCAGCACACACAGTGATCATGGGCTTATTATGTTTTTAATGTGTGGCTGGTTAGATCTGTGATAAGGAATACTTGCTGTATATCTGTACACACACATTCATATATACAGTAAAAACATGCTCACAGCTTTATATGTGTGGGGTTTTTTTTGTTGTTGTTTATCTTTATGAGACAGCGTTTCACTTTGTAGTGCACGCTGGCCTTGAACTCACTATGTAGCCTAGGCTGCCCTTAAACTTGCTATGGTCTTCCTGTCTCAGCTTCCTGAGTGTTGGAATTACAGGCATGTGATGCCACACCTGGATATATGTGGGATATTTTTGTGTTTAAAATTTAAAAAGTGTTCAAGTAGTAATTTTGAAAATTCACTTCTTTTAGTAAGGTTGCAAATGCAGTGCTAAAAAATTAACTACAATTCTTTGGCATTACGCTAATTTTCACTTTGTCTAATTTGTAATCTGGGATCCTGTTACCCAGAATTAGTCTGAAAAAACATATATGAGAATGCCAATCAGTTAAAAAAAATAAAAACTTTTTTGATGTCTCTGTCCACCAGTGTTATTTTTTGTCTTCCGATTGTGGTCACCGTGTTTTCCCTGCTTATTGTTTAGATAGGCTTCAGCCTGTGTCGGGTGGGTGAATCCCAGGCAACTTCTGCTAACTTCTTAAATCTGTCTTGATATTTTTTCTAGGCTGTCTTATTTTGCAAAAGTAATTATAACACATATAGTATATATTGCTGTGAAATCAGACTAGAGCAATTTAGATGGCCAGCTAAATTAGCGTAATAATGAAATACTGGTCCTTTGCTGCACATAGTAAGTTCCTTATTGCATTAATAAAATGTCATTGACTTGAAAAAGGGGTCGTACTATATCTTTTAGGACTGCCAAGATAATTCGAATACAACTAAAAGAAGTAGAATTTTAACAACAGGAAGAATCTTGGTAACTGTCTAAATTTAGTTAATTCCTTTCATTTTACAGGAATAAGATACTGTACAAGTCCAAAAAGGTTAAGTGTCTTGCTCAAATATATATAAACTTTTTTGTGACAGAAGTAAGACTGAAACCCAGACTTATAACCACTGCCCCTTCCCCTTTTTTTTGGTACCAGGACTTGAACTGAAGACCTTGCACTTGCCAGGCAGGCACTGTACTGCTGAGCTATATTGTCGGCCCCATCTCCCCTTTTTAAAATGCAGGGTGGTACAGTACATGGTAGGCAAGCATACTCTACCCCCGAGCTGCAGCCATATCCCTTGTAACTCTTTTCTGTTCTCTTTCAAATATAATAGTTAGGTTTATAACAGAATTACCTGTTCATTCTACCTTCAGTGAGTAGTGCAGTATCTGAGAGTTAATTTATATACCTTTTGATATTTGATTCTTTTAGCTAGATGATTTGAAATCTCTGAATTAAGTATAATTATTCGTTGTTGATTTTCTTAATGTTCATTGTTGTGTATTGTAGCTTAAAACAGAATTTGACAGATTGTTTGAAGATTTAAAAGAAGATGATAAGACTCAGGAAATGGAACCAGCTGAGGTATTGTACTATTACTTCCTTTTTTTTTTGGTGCCAGGAATCAAACTCCGGACCTTGTGCTTGCCAGGCAAGCGCTGTACCACTGAACTATATCCCTGGCCCCAACTTTCTGTTTAACACTACGAGGAATTTTTAAATATATCAGTAATTTGTACATTTCTTATCACAAGATCAATTCTTTTTCTTGTTCTGCTTGTGAAAATAGAAAGGACTTACTGTATTTATTTTTATGACGTTTTGTTAATAGGCTGTTGAAACACCATTGCTTTCACATCAGAAACAAGCTCTAGCTTGGATGATTTCACGAGAAAACAGTAAAGAGCTTCCACCATTCTGGGAACAGCGAGATGACTTGTACTATAACACAATAACAAATTTTTCTGAGAAGGAACGACCAGAAAATGTCCATGGAGGAGTTTTAGCTGATGATATGGGCTTGGTAATTATTTGTTTTCTTATTAATAAAATCCTATTTTGTGATTATGATTTTTGTAGAAAGTAATTTTGAAGTTGAAAGATAGATGGCAGTTTAGGACTAGATTTTTTAAGGTAGAAAATAGTATTTTTACATTGTTTTTTACTTAAAATAATGCTAAATTTTCTGTTTGCTTCATTAAGGAACAATTAAAATAATTGTGTAACAGTAATAATATAAATATATTTGTTTATTTCTTTTGTTCTTTGAAATTCAGGATGATCTGTTTTATATAATTTACTTTTAAAAAGAAATGAGGGGGGCGTAGTTTAAGTAGCACAAATGTGTTGAGTTCAGTCCCCGACTTGGCAAAAATCAACAATAGAAAAGTAAAGACAATGCTATGTGAAATGGTATTTCATCACAAGTACTACGTTATGTAGACTATTCAGTAGGTATTTGCAGTTCCGTACATGAGCAGTTTTTATACATTTTGGTCTCAGCAAACCTTTATACTTTTAAAGCTTATTGAGAATTATAAAAAGCTTACATTTTTGTGAGCTGTCTCTATTGATATATATAGTATTAGGCAAAGTTTTTTTATGTAGAAGGGTGGTGCTAGGGATTGAATCCAGGGCTTAGCACTGAGCTACATTTGTCCAGGTTGGTTTCAAACTTGGTGATCCTCCTGCCTCAGCCTCTCAGAGTTTGTGCCACCATCATGACTGGTGTAAAACAATTTTTTAAAAAATATTTTTTAAAGTAAAAAGAATAGTTGACAGAACCTTGTTCTTTAACACAAGTGACTGGGTGCAGTGGCGCACACCTATAATCCTAATACCACTGGAGGCTGAGATAGGAGAATTGCAAGTTTCAACCTAGCCCTGGGCAACATAGCAACTTGATGAGATCCTGTCTCTAAATAAAAAATTAAAGAGTTGGGAATATAGCCTGGTGTGATGGCTCTGGGTTCATTTACCAATATATATATATATTTTTTTGGCGGTACCGGGGATCAAACTCAGGACCTTGCGCTTGCCAGGCAGGCGCTTATGCCACTGAGCTATATCCCCAGCCCTCATTTACCAGTATTAAAAAGCAAAACATAAATATTTTTATTTTTTTCTCTTTTTATTTTAAAGAGAATAAAAAAACAGTAACAAAATAACAACAACATAGAAAAAAAGAAAAAGCAAAAACAATAAAAATGATTCAGGGCTTCAAAACAAAATGATGGGAATTAACAGTGGTTGTTATACATTGTTATCTTCAACAAAGTTAAAATACCTGTTCCAAAACAATTACTGGCTTGCACTTTTGCAGATCTTTTTGATGTTAACTGAATAGATGATAGTTGAATTCTCATATTTGTTTTTTCAATCTGTTGTGAATATGTTAATTTTAGATGCTGTATGTGAAGAAAATTTATCTGTGGTTGTGGTTGTAAAGGGAAGAATATTTTAGTAGCTTTTAAAAATAATTGTAGATTTCTTTTTGTTTTGTTTTGCTTTTCCTCTACTGGGTATTAAGCCCAAATCTTTTGCACTTAGCTGTATCTCTGGCCCTTTTTACTTTTTATTTTGAAATAAGATCTTGCTAAGTCGCTGTGCTGACTCCAATTGTAATCTTCCTGTCTCAGCCTCCCAGATTGCTGGGATTATAGGTGTGCCTCCCTATACTCAGCTGTAGATTTCTTTTGTACGCTAAAATCCAACAAGTATTAGTTTATTAAAGGTAAATGGACACAATTAGAACTTAAAATCATAGCCGTGAGTGAAATTACTATATTCTTACTTCATTAGAATGCATATGTGTATGTCACATATGCAATAGATGTTTTACTTGCATGGTTTTATAACCATAAGAAAAAAATTGGTTTACTGCATTATGTAGGTCTGCACAATGTCATTTCATTATACAGTATCAAACATTCACTTCTTCAGTGTAACCACTGATCTTACTAGAAAAGTGTTTCCATTTTTGCGAATTGCTATATTTATAGTGTTACATATAAACTTGCAACATTAATTTATTGTACTTGCTTGGTCATGAACAGTGATACTTGCCAGTATGTGACAGTTAATCTGATCACTACAGTGTATCATACACCAAGTGCTGTGTTTCATGCTAAGGCACTAGCACTTTTTGCATACAATGGTTTATATAGCACTGGTGCAGATGTGAACCAAGTAAGGTCTTACTTAATAGTATAAAAATAGTTCAAAAAAAAAATAAAAATAGTTCTAACCTCATATTTTACTGAAAGGGTCTTGGGGACCAGCTAGCAATATGTGAATAACATTTTGAAAACTCCTATTTTACACTGTCTTAACATTGTCCAAAATTTATTGTGTATTGCTGTCTATACATTACACTGCAAAAAATACCGAACAATTAACATGTTTCTGTTTAAGAAAAACGCCCAAGAAATATGTTACCCATATACTTCTGATCATTTATGACTTTTAAGTTTGGTATTACCGTTAAATCAAATTTAATAAAACAGTTTGGTCTTCGTAAGCATACTGGAACTACTAGTCATTTTAAATTAGCTCTGAATAGATGACAAGTAGTTGTAAATAGTTTCATGATAAAACTAATAATTCAAAATTAAATTAGAATCTTAGACCAGTATTCAGTGGAATGACATTTCTCAAAATGCTTACAGTATTTTATATTGTAGCCAGGCATGGTGGCGCACGCCTGTAATCCCAGCACTCAGGAGGCTGAGGCAGGAGGATCATTGCGAGTTCTAGACCAGCCTGGGCTACAAAATGAGCTCAAGGCCAGCCTGAACTGCATAGTGAGACTCTGACTCAAAAAGACCAAAGGAAAAAAAACAAAGAAAAAAACCAAATTCAGTATTTTATATTGTAAGTCATTTAATAATTACTAATGTGATGAAATGCATTTCATTATTTGATTATTTTAAAACTTACTTGGAATGCTTTCTGGACAACTCGGTTTCAGAATCTGGTTAATCTGATCATTTATCTTTTTAAAACATTTTAAAGGGTAAGACTCTTACAGCCATTGCAGTAATTCTTACCAATTTCCACGATGGCAAACCTCTTCCTGTTGAAAGAATTAAGAATCAGCTGAAGAAGGTAAAGTATTAGTAAGTAAATTTTCTGTGAAGACACTGGCTTACTATAAAACCTTTTAAGTCTCATTTAAATATAATTGGCAAGAAATCGGTAAACAGCATTTTGAAAAATACTATTAATGGCCTCTTTTGTGTTTATAAGGTTAAAAGTATCAAATTCTGCGGGGGGGCAGTTGATAGTATATTCAAAACCTTGAAAGTCTTTAAGACCTAGTCAGTAAAAAGCTGTCTAAACAAGGGCTTAAAATCCAAGTTGTGCAAAGATAGCAGTGTAAATATTTCTATGTTATTTTAAAAGTAGTTTGAAATTTTTAAAAATATATTAGCAGTTAAATAATGCATAGTCATAGAATTTAATAGCATACAACCACAAAAATCTTAGTTTTGAAGACTATTCATTTTCATGATTTATGGGGTGACTTGATATTTAGTATATATGTATACATATATTGTATATATACATAGTTATATTCAGCTTCTGGGAATTAAAAATCAGTTTAATGAGGGCTGGGGATTTAGCTCAGCGGCAAAAGCGCCTGCCTGGCAAGCGCAAGGTCGTGAGTTCGGTTCCCGGTACCGGA